GCATTACTCCAGTCTTCAGTGTTCTAATATGCTGATTTGCTGCTCTGGTGTTATTATTATTATCTTAATATTTATGTATCAGCACCGAAATGTCTTAAACAATTTTTTTTTTCCAGAAAACCGTCATTTTGACCAAATATAGTAAAATCAAGTGAATATAGTAGAAATCAGATTAAACATAAGGACGTTTTGTTTTGCACACCATTTAGAACAGAGAAAAAATATATTTTAAAAAAGTATGAATACATAATTTTTTTAATAAATAATATATTTAAAATAACATTAAAAATAAGTATAATAAGAAATAATAATGTATAAAGGAAATCTTTATTTAGATTTTGCTTTAATCATTTTCATATAAGAAAAAATCCACAAAAAGATAAAGATGTGAACATATTTGAAAAATAATGCAAAAAGAATCACTAAAAGGAGTTTTAATTAAACTCGCTGAGACAGTCTAAATTGTCTTAATTGTCTAATAATTGTCTAGTAAAAAAGTAATATTAATAATGATGATGATTATTTTTTCCCCCTTCAGAATAAGCATTTTGAACAAATGTGATATTCTTACAAGAATACAGCAAAAATCAATTTAAACATTATCAAGGCATCTTCTACACAATTTCAAATACAAAGAAAAAAAATATATTAATAAATATATTTATACATGCATTTATTATATTAAAGATATATAAACAAAGAAGGAAAATGTAATGGTCATTGTAATGGTCATTAGTATTATAGTATATAATAATTAACAGGAATCTGTATTTATATTTTTCATTAAATATTTGAACAAGAAAAATTCCACAAAAAGATAAAGATGTGTGGACATTTTTGAAAGGACATGCACAATTAATCAGTGTGAATTGATTCATGCAGATGAAATGAACTTTCCAGTTCTAATGTAATCTTCACTACCTAAGTTTATATCAGACGGGTCAAAAGAAGAGAGAAGCACATTATATTATTGGCTTCATATGCAGAGATCACACCACAGGGTTTAGGGGCGCTTATACTTGGATGCTTGCATCCGATTGGTCGATTACATTGTGATGTGGCTACAGAGCCCCACCCATCTCTCTCTGTATGCCAGGCTATATAAGAACTGACATCATCTCTGTGCCCTAGATAGCTCACCACAATAAACCTAGTCTGAACCTTCGAATCGCGTCATATCTGAGTTGGGAGGGTCTGTTGGGACTGGGAGGGCCGCCATCTCCCAAAGCACACTCACTCAGCTGCACACAGGCCCAGACACACATTAAAAGCTGCTCATTTCAATAATAAATGATCTGGATGGTGGAAAGAGAGATGAAATATAGATGAGAGAGAGAGAGATGCAGATGAGCTTTTAGGAGTTACCGGGTCAAATTCATAGAAGGGAAAATATGACCTGGAATAATAGATGGAGGGAGGACATGTGTGACCTGTCCAGTCTCATGGAAACGTCACACTAGGACTGGACAATACAGCTTAAAAATGTAAAATATTTTTTCCAGCCTTATATGGGATATATAAAGATGAAATGTAATAAATCATATTAAAATAAGATTTAGATAGATAGATAGATAGATCAAGGTATGTTTTAATAAACATTTTACTTTTTTTCTACAGTCTATGTCTATATACAGTATATATATAACTGATTACATGTAATCAGATTCCAAAAATTAAGTAGGCCTACTTGTAATCATATTATAATACATTTTAATATACTCATAATCAGACCACAGTTACTTTTTTATTGATTACATGATTACACCTTATTCACACAATAAAATAAGATCAAATAACTTATAATTTATTCATAATACATGCACTTTATGTTGTTAATAACAAATGTTATGTATTTTCTTTCTCTTTGTATTTCTGTCAGTATGGTACAAGATTATCCTATCAATGTGACAAACGAGTTAGGTCAATAGTAATCTAAAAGTAATCAAAAAGTAGTCTGATTATATTACCTAAAATATGTAATGTAACGGATTACATTACTAACTACAATTTTTGTCATGTAATTTGGAATCAGTAACAGACTGCAATTTGTAAGTAATCTATCCCGCTCTATGTTTGTATATTTATATATTTAATAATTAAATTAAAAGTCAATAATAAAACGGCAATTTTATTAAAAACATCCAAAGATAAAAAAGACAACTAAAAACATTGGTAAAATGGTTGTGTAGGTTTGTGGATGTAAGACGTTCTGAAAGTCATGGCGGTCCTGACAGCGGTGAGACCGTATCCTGATTATAGCTGGCACGGTTCAGCAGTCCTGGAAATATCATATTGATTGTCTGCTGATTAATCTACTGTATCAGCCCAATCAAACAACGTGACCCGCACTGAGCACAAAAGACCCATCCGTTATTAGCTGCCATAAGCTGCCTACAAAAACCCTTCCACATTTGCTTGTCTCTTCACAAACCTCCTAAGAGAGCTCTATTCATACACATATTTGAGCACCTGTATTGTGTGTGTCAGTCGGTGGAGAGGCTCTTTATAGCAGGTATGTCAATGCTAATGGTGGTGGCACTGTCCACAATAGAGCCCATTACAAACAACAGCCATTCGGATCTGATCAGCATACAAAAAGCCAAAACTCTCACAGGCGCTAACAAAACCCACACACTCACACACTCTTTGACACTAAATGTGTGAAATGGAGGTGTTGTGGTGTTATATATAGGCAATAAACAGGCAGAAGATCATAAGTGTTCAGTATGGACAGGCATAGAGATGCACAGGAAACTCATCCAGGGAGTCTCTCACGCCAGAGAAGGGTTCAGCACCAAGGCCAGCGCTTCATTCATTATCTGTACAGCTCAAACTCTACAGTACTGTCTCTCAACTGATTTGGCTTCAGAACAGGATTTCACATTGGACAGCAACACAGTGCTAAAATGGCATATTTTTCAAAAGTTAACAAAACTGTCCTTCAGATAAATTTCTGCATTCCTGCATCGCTGCATCACTGCACAAGTGTATCACTGCGTCCCTGCATCACTGCACTACTGTATCACTGTTTTCTTGCATCATTGCATTAGTGTATCACTGCGTTCCTGCATCACTGCACTACTGTATCGCTGCTTTCTTGCATCACTGCATTAGTTTATCACTGCGTCCCTGCATCACTGCACTACTGTATCGCTGCTTTCTTGCATCACTGCATTAGTTTATCACTGCGTCCCTGCATCACTGCACTACTGTATCGCTGCTTTCTTGCATCATTGCATTAGTGTATCACTGTGTCCCTGCATCACTGCACAAGTGTATCAGTGTGTCCCTGCATCACTGCACTACTGTACAGTATCACTGCTTTCTTGCATCACTGCATTAGTGTATCACTGTGTCCCTGCATCACTGCACAAGTGTATCAGTGTGTCCCTGCATCACTGCACTACTGTACAGTATCACTGCTTTCTTGCATCACTGCATTAGTGTATCACTGCGTCCCTGCACTACTGTATCGCTGCTTTTTTGCATCATTGCATTAGTGTATCACTGCGTCCCTGCATCACTGCATTAGTGTATCACTGCGTTCCTGCATCACTGCACTACTGTTTCGCTGCTTCCTTGCATCACTGCATTAGTGTATCACTGTGTCCCTGCATCACTGCATTAGTGTATCACTGCGTCCCTGCATCACTGCATTAGTGTATCACTGCATTCCTGCATCACTGCACTACTGTATCGCTGCTTTCTTGCATCACTGCATTAGTGTATCACTGCGTTCCTGCATCACTGCACTACTGTTTCGATGCTTTCTTGCATCACTGCATTAGTGTATCACTGCATCCCTGCATCACTGCATTAGTGTATCACTGCGTCCCTGCATCACTGCACTACTGTATCGCTGCTTCCTTGCATCATTGCATTAGTGTATCACTGCGTTCCTGCATCACTGCACTACTGTTTCGCTGCTTTCTTGAATCAACTGCATTAGTGTATCACTGCGTTCCTGCATCACTGCACTACTGTTTCGATGCTTTCTTGCATCACTGCATTAGTGTATCACTGCGTCCCTGCATCACTGCATTAGTGTATCACTGTGTCCCTGCATTAGTGTATCGCTGCGCCCCTGCATCGCTGCACTAGAGTATCACTGCATCATTGCACTTGTGTATCTCTGTATCCCTGCATTGCTGCACTAGTGTATTGCTATATCTCTGCATCACTGCACTGGCGTAAGTTGTATCCCTGCATTGCTGCACTATTGTATTGCTAGATTCCTGCACTGATGTATCACTGCATTTCTGCATTGCTGCACTAAAGTAATACTGCATTCTTGCATTACTGCACTAGTGTTTTGTTACTTTCCTGCACTAAAGTATTATTGTGTTCCTGCATTGCTGCACTAAAGTATTACTGTGACCTTGCATTACTGCACTAGTGTACAGCTGCATTCCTGCATTGCTGCACTTACAGTAAGTATTACTGCGATCCTGCATTACTGCAGCAATGTATCACTGCATTCCTGCATTGTTGCAATGATGTATCGTTGTGCTCCTGCATTGCTGAACTAAAGTATTCCTGCATTACTGCACCACATACTGTTGCACTGTAGCATCACTGCACTGAAGTATTACTGCATTCCTGCATTACAGTATAACTTCCTGCACTCTTGAACTACTGAATTACTTTACATCTACAATATTGCCCTACTTCACCATAGCAGCAACGTATTACTGTGACCCTGCATCTCTTGTGATGCTGCCAAAAATGTTTTAATTCTCCATTTACATATCACCTTCAGTGTTGCAAGACCAGTCTCAGATTTCCAACTTTAGCCCCTCATCAAGTCATTTCAATGTTGACAGGCATAGTGAAATATGGACACAAAGTCTGAGGTTGTTTGTTTCAGATTGAGTTTGGGAAAAGTGTTTTTATTCAGTACCACATTAAACTAGGTCTCAAAAAAAAAAAAAAGTCCACAGACAACATTTGGACAAACAAATGCAGAATTAAATCAGGTAAAGTGGATTTGCTACACTCACCCACTGCTCTTCCTGGGCAAGGGAAGATCCTTCTGGAAAAGAGAGATAGAAATGATAGACTGAGTGATTATATTACAGTGTGTAAAATGATACCATCAATAACTGCTCAATACCAGTTTGCTTCAGGACATAAATATCTTGATGAAACCAAACTGGAATAATCTTATGCCAGCTGACATTCATATGACCCAAAATGCTCTTCAGATCTCTGAGAGGGAGGACAGCACTTAGGGGAGAACAATCCCCAAATCATTAAACTGGCCAATTACACAAACAAGGTCACTGGAGAGAGCGAGCGTGCATGTTAGATAGCAGGAAAGAGGCCATGCTGGTACATGTGATGGTACACTAAGGGCTTCAGTCGGGAGGAAATGACTTCACCCACTGTGACTCACTTTGATGACATCGTGTGTGACAAGGACTTCCCTGCCAGCATGACTGGCGCCACTGAGCAACTAATGGAGGATTAAGTGGACAAATAGTCTGTGGCCGCTGTGTGTGTGTGTGTGTGTGTATGCTGTGTTCTACACTTCATAGACACTTTAATTTTGAATTTATAACCATAATGGTAAAAAAAGACCAATAGGATATGAGCCTTTGAGTCCCATAAGACTCTAATAATACTTATACTGTAAGTATTATAGCTCTGCCAATGTAAACATATAAAAGCAGTAACAAACAAGCATGATAAAAAAAAACAATAGCTGTGTTGTTATTGTTAACTAAAACTAAAAGTGTCCTCATTAATTGAAATAAGGTTGAAATTAAATTAAAATATAAATATTAGATGAAAAACTAGACAGACAGATAGACAGATAGACAGATAGATAGATAGAGTAAATAGGTGGAAGAACAAATAAGAGGAAATAGAAAGATGAATAGAAAGGATGCAGCAGCTGACAAATGAGGCCAATGAGACAATGAGGGGGAAGCAGGTCAATTCATTACATAAGAAAAAAGACTGAACCCTTCAAAGGCCTCTGTGGATGGATGTCTCGCTTATTCAAACCAGCCTCTATTTTCATTTTAACAAGATTTTACATCTTCTGAGAGAAATGTGAGAGATGGCAGTGCAAAATTTGCTAGGGAGTTTAGGGTGGTTGCCACAGCATTGCTATGCAGTTGCTATAGTGTTCTAGGTGGTTGCTAGGTGGTTTCTTACTGTCCCAAGTTCAAAGAGCTCACCTCTAAGTTTGATATTGTTGCCTCTTGACATTTCTTTAGGTCCATCCTAGACTACATGACTTTTTGCCTGCTGCACAGGTGAAAAGTAAATTCTCTTGCCTATAAAAATAATAGCTCATCTCTCCTCTATACAGGCATCTAATGATCACACCATTATATTACACACTGTATGATTTTCTTTATTTTTCCCACCAGATGGTACCCATCAGCCTTCCATTGAATTTTTTAAATACCTTTGCACTGTATTTATTACAATTTGTTTATGATTTTCTTTTCTGCAATTTGTATTATTTTATATAAGAAAAAAGTGGATAATTTAGAGGTTGTCTATTACAATGAGAGGCATTTAGAGATGTTGTCTAGCACCATGAAAACCCTTCAAAATACTACAGCTGAGGATCACAAGTGAGGAATGGCAGAGGGTTAATAATCAGAGTTAGAGTTTCTCTGAAACACCTGACCGTGCACATGACCTAAAAATAATGAAAACCACCCCAAACTGGGCTCTGATTTCCATTTCAAGACTTTATCTCTTAGACAAAATCTTAAAGTTGTGCCATTCTCTTCACATCTTTCTGCTCCTCTCTGCAGGGAGTGAGAGAACAGGAAAAAGAAGCTGCAGCCGCACTTACATTTTCATGTAGTTCCGTTCTCCTCTTTGAACTCTATTCTAGGAACAGTGAGAGAAAAAAGCGAAGAGATTCTCTGCTGTGCTGATCCTGCAATATCTTAATTATGCATTCATTAGAACACCATTTTCTGCACCTTGTTTGGATGTTTAGGTCAAAGGTCAGGGTTGAAAAGGGATCTTCGCTAAGGCTGTCTTCTCCCACTGTTTCAGTATCTTTATCAAAGGCTGAAATGACATTTGATATTTTAACTCAATCTCGGTAACTACCCACATTTAAACTACACACCAATCCCATGGCTTTCAACCAGTAATCTTCTAGTTATCCGCTGCAGTACTGAATAGCTATTCAGCTATCAGTGATTTGAAATGACCTAGCATAACTGCAACAGATGCTAACACTAACAACTAACACAAACTCTGATATAAAAAAAACAATCAATTTTATGATGTGATAACATCCAATACTGCTGTACGTGCATACTTGAGTCAAATAAGTATGCATATTGGGATGCAACCACCTTCTTTTATGCCCAATGGAGTGGATACAAACTGAATCAATATAAGACGCAGAAAGTAACATATCCATTGCATGCACTTGACATAATGGCAAAAGGCAATATTGACAAACACCGGGCTCATTAAGTCTGTGAACTTCCAGACCGGTGATGAATAACATCCAGCCTACAGCTGAGACTAATGAAACAGACTGGGCTCCGCGCCCAGAGAAGAGAAAGCCCTATCGTTCCAACTGGAGATCAAACGAGGGACGGAAAAGAGGAATGAGGGTAATAACAGAGTCGCCACACTGCCAGACTAGGCTACACCAGAGAGTATTTACTAAATCACTTTTTCAAACTTTAAGCAGCCAGAATATAATACAAAAATATACATCACATACCTACATATAAAGATGAGACACTTTCTGATAATTCTTTTATGCTTTGTTTTTAAAATAAGATCCAAATAGCTACATAAATGGCATCCCTTAAGTCACCTCAATGCTGTTGTTTAGTAATGGAAGAATATAAATGTAACAATACATAATTACATGACTCATGATTCATTTGAGTGAATCAATTCACACTGTCAATTAATCAATTCAAAACTCTAACCAAACAATTAATTTGAGTCGAGACTTTTGTGTTTTAGTAAAAATACACTACTGGTCATAATCTACTGTTTATTACCATTCCTTACAATCATTGTTTGTTTACACAAAAATATTAAGCAGCACAACTGTTTTCAACATTGATAATAATAACAAATGTTTCTTGAGCAGCAAATCAGCATATTAGAATGATTTCTGAAGGATCATGTGACACTGAAGACTGAAGTAATGATGCTGAAAAATTTAAAATGAATTAAAACAGAAAAATGTCATTTTAAATTTTCACAAATTACTATTTTTACTATATTTATGATCATAAAAAGGCATTTGTGAGCATAAGACTTTTGAAGAGTAGTGTAAATCTAGGAATTGCTGTTTTTTTTACATCAGTGCATATAAAAGAAATGAATACAATAAAAATTAGTGCTGTCAAACGATTAATCGCGATTAATCGCATCACAGTATATATATTTACATGTTTATACATTTATATATTCATATTCTTATATTATATTATATATAAATATAATAAATATATTAACATAACATATTTTTCTTAAATATATACATGCATGTGTTTGTATTTATATATACATAATAAATATACACATATATATTATGTAAGGAAAACTTTTATTTTGGATGCGATTAATCGCGATTAATCGTTTGACAGCACTATTAAAAATATACTTTTCATTTAGTGACAAAACAATGTGGAAAACATGCATTTATTACTTTTTAACTAGATTTTACTATATTATATTTGAAGAGTTCATTTGCAAAAACAGATAACTCAGTTTTTAACAATTATCAAAAATCATGTTTTTTCATTGTGCATTCCAATTAATCTCAATCAAACTGCAGTTGGGTTATTTTGATTAGGT